CACAGTAAGATCTTTTTTGTCAGTACGATAAATATTATATCTAAAAAAAAAATCTAATAAAAATTTAAACTTCAAAATTATGTACCGTTTTCTGTTTCTAATGTTAAACTGTTACTTTACTCTAATTAGGGCTTTTACAATCAAGTTTCTTCTAGACCTCGCTGAACACATAAAGCTGTTTCTTTCAAACTTCACGATAATGAAGGAAATTTCAAATACCAATTATTTCATCCTTAACTAGGCCGAGAAAAACTAAAATTAGTAATTAATTCCTAGACCAACCTAGATGGTGAACTTTTTTGAAATTTCTTCAATTTGGTGACTTTATACAATAACTTTCATCGACTTAAATGAAAAAGAATCTGTAGGGCAGAAACTCAAAAAGATGGAAAAAGTGTAATATATTTGGCGCTTTTCCAACAAATCCCATAGGGTCCAATAGTGAAATTTGACAATTTTTGAGATGGCCCCTAAGAAATCGGGATGGTAAACATTCGATTTTTTAATCTTAAAACAATAAATATAGCAGTTAAAATTAATATAAAAAAATATCAAAATCCTTAGGGCAGAAATGATTAGACTTGGCCTCGTTAAATAGTTAACCATGTGTCTTGCACATCGTTTACATGTGTCTTTTGCGACCTTCCAGAATTTCCTTTGTCGATCTTTTATGAACACTGCATGTGTATGTTTACTTTTTGAAACAATCTTTTATCAAATTAGGGTTAAATACATAAAAACTGTTATTACTGGTACGTTTTTCAGATTTTGTAAGCAAGTATTTAATAATTTAGTTCTTACATGTATATGTGTTAAGGAAAGGGGGTGGGGGGCTTTTTCACAGTATGTATTGTGGAAATGATTTACTTTTCTTTAACACTATGTTAAAGTGATATAATTAAAAAAAATATTTTTCATAAATTCTTCAAACATTTTTCCAAATAATTAATGCTTTTTGTATTTGAATATTGATTTATAGGCCCTGTATGTTTTTCAATTTAAATCGGGATTCCTTCGCGAATTGGTTGCGAAATGACCGGGAATATAAGTACTTCGCACAATTCTTGCGCCACAATTTAATTTGAAATGATGGGGAACCCTGAAATATACTTTGAATATTTCATAAGTCATAAACAAAAAATGAATCCTACCTTGATTATACATTTGCATATATATAAATCGAAAGAATGTGGTACTATGATACATGTATTATTATCGTAACTTTAAGGGAAAAAAATGAAATTATATTGTATGTTATTAACTCTTCTATGAATGCTACCCCATTTATTTTTTAAGAGTTGGAACATAGAATCGAAATTCTAAAAACCCAGCTGAAGGTTGATGAACAACAAACTCAAAGTACGAAGAGTCATTTGAAGCTTGGATTAGAATTGCCTCTGGAAAAACAAACAGCTGGAATGGAGGATTTATTGAAAATGTAAGCATACTGTAGAATACTGTACGATATGTGCTTTTGTTATTCCTAGTTGTTCGAAATTTAACGAAATACGAAAACTCAGAAACAGCCTCTTGACGACTATTGTTGGACAAATACTCACAGAAGTTCGTTCAATACACATTTTTGGAAAAATCACAATGCTATATGTACCACGCGACGCTGGAAAAAATGTCATTTTTCGTATAAAGAATGCGTAGTATGAATTCCGTATGATAAAGAATAAATAAATTAACACGAATTGAAGATGCACATTTTTTGCTTTCCTCAGTTTCATAAACATTCCTCTAAAATACGAAAAAATATCGTTGTTTTATAAAACCCACGTGTGAAAGGTTAGCACTGCATGATAATCATTACATCCGGTAAGACTAATTTTATAACCTGTCAAACAAACCCGGAAAATTTCGGACTCTTGAAAACTCGAACTCTTGATCTCTCGAAGTGTTTCCTTATATATATACTTAAAGGTGCATGGACACAAATTTGAAAGTAATATTTTCTGTATAATATCACGAATCTTCTTTCAAACAATAATATTTACAAAAAAATTTTCATCTTAAAGTTATTGACACTTCAAAATACACAATTGCTACTTTTTCTAAGTATTTTAGAATTTGTAAAAGTGCAAGGATGTGTTAATCAAACCCATACAAAAATTTAAAGTTTTAATAGCTTTAAGATTAAATAAGATTTTAATTGTATTTTTCTGTGAACTGCTTTTATTATATATATATATATATATATATATATATATATATATATATATATATATATATATATATATATATATATATATATATATATATATATATAAGCACAATTTACAACAACTCTTAAACTAACATAACTGCCCTAAGTGAAGAAATATTAATATAGAAAGCACAAAGAAATTCACTTTTACATGGATACCCACTTCCGCCCCAGCCCGGGGTTGAACTCTCGACCTGCGGAATCTGTCTCCTAGCAGTGCAGGAACAGCGCGCTAGACCGCTCGGCTATCTAGGCAAGTCAAAAATTTGCTTTCGATGCCGATGGAATTCTCGCGGCGCTGTCCTACACTACACGGTCATTGAGAATAGAAGTGAGATACAGTTATTTGGACATTAGTTTTAACAGAGGATTGTTACCAATGCATGTTGTAAAACGGTCTAGCGCGCTGTTCCTGCACTGCTAGGAGACAGATTCCGTAGGTCGAGAGTTCAACCCCGGGCGGGCGGAAGTGGGTATCCATGTAAAAGTGAATTTCTTGGTGCTTTCTATATTAATATTTCTTCACTTAGGGCAGTTATGTTAGTTTAAGAGTTGTTGTAAATTGTGCTTTATGAATAATAATTAATTTCATTACAACATGTATTGGTAACAATCCTCTGTTAAAACTAATGTCCAAATAACTGTATCTCACTCTATTCTCAATGACCGTGTAGTGTAGGGCAGCGCCGCGAGAATTCCATCGGCATCGAAAGCAAGTTTTCGACCTGCCTAGATAGCCGAGCGGTCTAGCGCGCGCTGTTCCTGCACTGCTAGGAGACAGATTCCGTAGGTCGAGAGTTCAACCCCGGGCTGGGGCGGAAGTGGGTATCCATGTAAAAGTTAATTTCTTTGTGCTTTCTATATATATATATATATATATATATATATATATATATATATATATATAATAACATTTATATAGCGCCCTATTTAAAATAAATTACTCTAAGGCGCTGAACAGACAGTTCCTTTGATATAGTTAAAAACAGCATAATATTCATAGAAATCTAAAACCTAAAATTATAGTACGAGATTGTTACTAACATAAGAGTAGGCTAAAAATACAGGCTGTGCCCAAAAAAAAAATAATCTGAGGATAATAAAACTCGATAACTTGTTCAAGATAAAAATCGTACACGTCGTATGTTATCTTATAAAGATGAGTCATAAGATCCCGTTTAAAAGTGAAAAAAAAAATGAAAGTGGAAACGAAGATCATCCGGTAAACCATTCCATAAAGTTGCTGCTGTATGGTCAAATCGACGAGTACCTTATGTCTCTGTGCGAACACGAGGTTTCACGAATTGTATGGAGTCACCAGAGCCTAGAGTCCTCGACGGTTTATAGACTTTTACCTTTGTTCCTTTAAGTATGATGCTGATGTATCCTGGAGTTCTTTGAATGTGTATAAAAGGATCTTATAATATATGTTCTATTAAAATATATAAGTCGTGATATTATACAGAAAATATTAACTTCAAAGATGTGTCCCTGCCCTTTTTAAGATCAAACATTTTTTCATTATTTTTCTTAAGTTGGGGATTGAGTTTGAGCATGAAACACTTACCATTAGAGAATTCTATGTGTTTTTCAGCATATTCCAGCATTTTAAATGTATTCCAAATATACCCTTGGTTACCACTTATATAGATATATATTCTAGACAGTTTCTTAAAAGTATAAGTGTAAGAGTATTTTGGCATGATTTAAATTGAATTCAATGAATTTTTTTTTTTAAATTTCTATTGAAACTGTAACGTACGGGAAAAAGTAACATTAAAGTGATTTTGACGTCATAATGGATCTAGCACAGGCTAAACACATGTTATCATACGACGTAGGTTCAAACCCAAGCTCAGACGTAGGCTCAGTAAAGATTTAAAGTAGCTTAAAATCTCAGTTTTTCAAATTTTTCCGGCTGTTGTCAAGGCAACTGAGACATAAAACAACAAACATTTATTTGAAATATGCATTTGGTGTCAAGTATTTGGAATGAGTGAAGTTTCATCAAAATCAAAATCAAATCGATGACCATGCGTGGCAATGAAGTTAAAGTTGTTAAATGGAATGGCTTTTAAATCAAATTTATAAATAATAATGCACCATGTGACATTTATTTGAATGACTGTTGCTATTTTTTGAGTTCAACAAAATACTTTGGTGTTATTTATGAAGAAACTTCGATTGAGTATTTTTCATTGCAAGTTGATGTTAGAAAGTATTTGAATATAAAGTAAATATTACTTAAAAAAAAAGTTACATATTTCTTTACTTCAGAATAAAACAAAGATTTCCAATAGAGACAACTCACGCTGCTCGTTTGTCCCGGTTAATATGTGGTCCCTGTACGGATCTTTTCAGGGACATTCTGAAGAATTGGATTCCAGAAATTCAGTTTCAATTTGTTCTGCAAAAGAAAAAGAGAAATTTAATCCAAATCTTAAACAAAAATTACAAAGAACAACTTTATCCTAGATCAGGCAATTTCTCAGAAAGTTATGAACATTTTGACTTGTCTTTATTATATTTGTTACTGAGAAACATATCTGGAATACCGCCTCACCGGAATGGATGGGGTAAATCACCAGATCCATTCGATCGATCCCTCTCTGCCAACATAGAACGTATACGAGAAATCAGGAACACTTTGACATCTACAAGCAGGATCTCCGATTCTGATTCCGATTCTGTCTGGCAAGATTTAATTGTTATAATCAGTGAACTTGAGGAATGCCTACCTGGAGATAGCAAGGTATATTCAGAAGCTGCTAGAATAATAAAAACTGACATTATGGATCCCGAATTGAAAGATATGTATCAGGATATCATTGAAAAGCAGAACAAGTTGATAAAAGAGTTGAAAGGTAACTATTTTCGTTAGTCTCAAACGTGATAAAAGGGATTCAAATGAAGCAGATTATTCATACATACAACAAATTTACAAAAAAATGGAATTGACCATAAAATAATTACACGTAGAAGTATTTTTAAAACTTATTTATCATTTGTTGCTCTTTATATCTCATTATTTGAATTCGCACTTCTTCCTATAGTCATATAGGTATATCTGTTCCTCGTACAGCAGTTTTTATCTTGCAATAAGCGTACACAAAGATATATATGGTACATTATTGTTTGCATTGTTTCCCAGGTGAGGGAGGCTAGAGAAATTATATCAAACCATCAAGTTAATGTTAACTATGTTCATTTGTTTAAATAAGCCATTTTCTTCACTGAATGGCTTATAAAATGAAACAAAATCTTATTACGAGTGCTTAGATATGAAAGTCGATTGAAAAATAATAGATTCTGGTTTGGGCCCGTTGTAACTGGATATTGCGTCTATGGTAAAAGGAATCTAAAAGGGAGATTTGGTCGTAAAATAAGTTACTCAGGCTTATCGAATGTTACCTGGGTACGTAATTATTGATTTGAATGAAATGTAAAAACGAAAATGAAAAAGAAAATGCAAGTTTGGAAGAAAAATTTAGTTCCACGAGTACGTATTGTACAGTGCGCTGTATGTTGAATAAACTTGAAATAAAAAGCAGTAAATTTCGTAAACACACTTTGAAATGGGGAACAAAGCAACCAGTGTCTTTGCTTTACACAGCTGTATGCATTTGATACAATTCAAGAAAACACGTTGACCGCCTTAAACGTACCTTTACCTGGTAATAAGATCACTGCATCTAAATCAGAAATCATCGGTGCACAAGTCAAATCATATACACCCTGAATTACATTTATTGTAAACACACACTGTCACTACTCCGTACAGGCTAGCACGTCGATACACTTAGTCCGTGCTGATCAGATTTTGGTAAGGCAAAATATCACTAGAGGAAAGAAAAGTCATTTTGTATTTGCGCGGATGAAAGCTAAGGGGGGGGGGGGGGGGGGGTAACTAAGGTCTTATAGCTGCTGTTCAAAAAGTATAACTGATAATTGTCTATTTAGTTCTAAAAAAACATTCTATACATAGTCTGCAGTTGTTTTACATCGCAAAATTCATTTGTCAATTATAACTGATTATCATAGTACTAATATCAAGTCTAATCCAAGTTATTTGATACACATTAATTATTTAGTTCAAGATTTAAAGGCCGAGGTTTTTTACAGTACGGTTTTCTTCAGGTAAGTTTGGGGTGGGGTGGAGTTAATTGAAGCGACTGAGAAGCCCCGAGGGAACGACGCTGGCTTGTGTATACTACCTATATACACAGGATGTTAACTGAGCCCCTGGGTGTATTACCTGTATGCGTTTTCCTACGACCTTTGTAAACCGAGGCCGTTTTTTTTTTCATGTTTAGCTCATGAATTGAAATGCGAAATAAAGCATTTTTTGTTGCAGACAGAATCCTTCTCAATTTCTTTCTTTTAAAATTGATATTTTTAATAATCCGACATTTTTCATATACAATTATGTTTCTAAATGAAGTGTTATAACGAAAATACATTTAACACCAAATCTGTCGTTGTAATCTGGCGAAAAAAGGAAAGTATTTCAAATTACACGTCGTCTACGCAAAACGAAAGAAGAAAGTGAATCATAAAACAGTCTCTCGGTAAATAGCAATGAAACTTAGATATGATGTTTTGAATAAAATGTTGAACATGTGTTGAAGTAGAAATATTATTGTCTAAATAAAAATCTTTTTAAGATAAACCCTACTTGATTTTTCCATAACGCATGGTCCGTAAAAATGGCCAGGGCTTTGGACCGGGGTTGATTCCCCGACAGCTATGAAACGGAAAAAGAATCATCTGCATCGTTTTTTTTTCTTTCAAGATTCGTTATTAATTTCAAACATTAAATACAAAGCAAGATTTAATATTCCGAGTAATTTCTCTTCTAAAACTGATTATTATATACCGTAACGTCATCACCATGTCTCGAAGAAAAGGGACATGTACAGGTTTGTCTTATAAATATAAATTCGCTTGACTCATGCATGAACAATATGTTACAATGTTGTCATACTTGTTTTAAAAAATAATTTTATTTAATTTCATGAAACTAGCTTCAAATTCAGGTCGGTTAATTTTGCTAATTAATGGAGGAATAAATGTATGTTTTGACATGGAAATTAAAATTATCGATTGCAATCGTATAATGAAATCCTTCCTTTTAAAATTAAATTGATAATATATATTATATGGCCATGATTTTTTTGTCTTTCATTTAATTATTTGATGGATTGATTATATCTATGGTATATTCTTATGATTTAAAAAAATAAAAAAAAAAAACGATTTGATTGCTTCTTTATCACGTTAGCATACAGTGCGGTAGGCATCAAAAGCCTGAAAGTTAATTCGATGGTCGGTACAATCTCCAGACAAGGTACACAAGATATACACAACAACCTCAAACTAAATGTCAATCAAATCAAAATATCCAATCCCAGGCTTTAATTTCAGATGATTGACAGAGGTTCTAAGACCAGGTAAATTTGAAGGAGGTGCTTATTTCCTCCCCCTTTAAATGCGTTAACCAAAATGCAATTTATATGTGTAAATCTGTACGTTCTATAACACACATGCAGAAAACAACCATCCCCTGTTTAGATTGACATATAAGGCATTTGTATTTTTAGGGAGGGGGGGGGGCAAAAATAATTAACATGACCGTTATCTGTATCGGTCTCCACGTCCTAGAGTGGGATTCGAACCCGCACAATAAGGATCAAATCCTTACTCCACGACTCTAGAACAAATGCTCTTACCAATGCGACACGATGACAAATAAAATTATTGCTTAAATTATTAAAAAAAATCATTCCCCAATAATTCATTTGTATTATGCTGTTTTCTTATTTATTAAGTGTAAGAAACATGTGTAAAAACAAAGTTATTGATAACAATTGAAGGATATGGGTCCTGGACTGGTTTTATTTCAAAAATCATTTTTTCCGTAGAAACGACATTTGGAGGAAATGTAGAAAAAGCAGAAACTCAACGAACCCATGAAATACAGAAACCATCTGAAGAGGAGGAAACATTAAAGTCTTCCGCAGAGAAGTCTGAGAAGCTAAAACAAGACCCTGGAATACTGGACATGATAAAACATCTGCGAAAATGTCTAGGTAAAATGAAATAAAATGTTCCAAATAAAACCAAAAATAATACATGTATAAACATTTCTACTGAATGCCCGTTTATAATTTTAGATGATATTTTGCCCCCCTTCTTTTGCGACTGTTAGGGGCCAAAATATCTTTCGTCTGTCTGTATGTTAGTCTGTCCGTCTGTCACAAAAAAACTTTAACCTCGGTTATACCTTTTGAATGAGAAGAGGTGCGGATTTCAAATTTACAATGTACATTATCTGTGACAAGATATTTCCAAATTTATCATGGTTTTAGACCCCTTGACCCTGACCTTATCGTTCGATTTGCTTTTCAAAATTTTAATATTTTTATAATGGTCATAATTTTTGAAAGCAAAAAAGACAGAACTTTCGAATTACACACGTTTACTTAGTGAAACAAGACCTTCCTAAATATACTATAAATTTTGACATTGAAGTTGACCTACTTTTCACAAATGTGATCTTTCCTTATAACTTTTGATTGAGAAGACATATGGCTTTCACATTTGACATGTTTATTACGCATGTTTATCCCTTTGCCCTCGACTTTTCTGATTGGCCTGATTTAAAATAAATAAATAAATAAAGGAGAAGGTAGGGTAGCGACAAAATCTGGTCCCTAATTTTATGTTAAATTAAGAACACTGGCAAAATTGTTATAGTTTGTAGTTAAGAACTTAAAATGATGCTTTAAAATTAGGACCAATTTGGATTCAAAGCTTTCTTAGAAGCCACGAGAGGGTAAAGAAATAGGACGTTTTTTCGATTTTCCGCAATTTTGGTAATACTTCATCATATTTGAGATACTTTTCTCTTCGGAAAAAATAGAGCATAAACTTGCCTTTCTGAGATTTTTAGAAACAAGATTCATCTGACACTAGTTCATAAAATTTAGTAAATAGGTAAGCTTGTGCTCTATGTTTTCCGAAACAAAATGTGCTTTAAAATTTATGAAAATTTGCTTAAAAAATGAGAAAATTCGAAAATTGAGCTATTTTTTTCACCTCTCAGTAACCCCTGTCAAAATCGAACCAAAACTCATTTTGTACCAACAGGTTTTATGGATAAACTGTTGCACCATTCTGAAATACATTTAAAATCAGCCTTCAGGGGCCAAAAAGGGATCTTACCCTCTCTTTTCCTGTGTTGAACACCTATGAATGTCATATGACAGGGCGTTCATATTTGAATATTTACATCCACTGAATATTTTTCTCCTTTATTTCTTAAGAAAACCCAATGCGTTAATCACTACATGAACTACATAAGGCATGTCGCCTGTACAGATTTCTTGATCAGTGGCTGTTCCATCAATGAAACGTATAAAGACGTTCGCATCATTGATACAATAATTAAACTTTTTAATCCTTCTTTAAATGATTATTTAAACAGATATGATTTAATTTTGCTTGTATTCTTGCCTATCATTGGTTGATTTCCAAAAAGGAACGCATTACATTTTGTATAATCTGGTTTGGTATGGGGACACACCCCCTTGACAACCAGAATAAGCATCTGTATCCATCAATCCCCTTATTTCCAGTCCTTGGGATTCATGGAAAATTCCAGATTTAATGAATGTACCTTTAATTTCTAACAGCTGCTCGATCTTACCTCATGTAAAAAAGCATCATGGCTGCTAGATCTATGTATCAGTTTTTACTTCCCCTCGCTTCCCATCACTTCCGTTACTACGGTTGTATTATTGCGCGGTAAATTTGAACTCATAAAAACAATACAATTTTACATCCCCAGTTGTTTAATTATTTTAAAATTAAATTATAAGGAATGACTCTATTTCTTGGCCAAATTATCGAGTATAATATGGGTTGGGTCAATCTACGCTTTTTTTAAACCGCTTCGCGGATTATAAAGCGTAAACTGACCCAAACCATATTATACTCGATAATTTGGCCAAGAATTAGAGTCATTCCTTAAATAACTATAAACAATAAAATGCCTTTCTTTGTTTGTTATTACTGGAATTACCGGTCGCATCTATTGCAAAAAAATTTTACATAACCCTCTTACGCGGGTTATGTATATTTACTGCAACAGCTCTTCCGTTAATTCCAGTAATAACGAACAAAGAAAGCATTTTATTGTTTAACACAATATTTAATAAATACTGTAGTGGCATCCCATCAATTAGGACAAAAAAGCGGGAGGCCATAATTCTTTGAATTTGCTTGTTTAATATTGCTGTCAGAGCAATCTTGTTTTTTTCTGTATTCTATAATGATTATGATATTTTGTGTTTGAATTTTTTCCCAATGCCACTCGATAGAAACTTTTCTTTTAATTGTTGAAAAATTTGCTTAGTTATGACATTTGAAAATAGTTCAATCTTTAAAATATTTATGACATAATATAATCCGAACATGATACAAGAAGTAATGTAGCAGACTGATGAGTAATTTTAAAAATAAATTTGCTTGTTAATAAAAACTAGATAGGGCAAAAATAAATTTAAAATTTGGATTGTCATCCTCAAATTCTTGAACATTGCATGGAGGCGGGTAGAAAGATTTATTTTTTTGATATTAGAAATATGTATATTTCTTGTTTTCAAACCAAACGTTTATATTGTTATTGTCAATACATTTTCATTTTAGATATCCACAGTATATTTGTTTCACAAACAATATTCATAGGCGTGATAATTTGCCGAGCAAACTTTTTGCAAGCATACTTCTTCTATAAATTGGAGCGCGGATGCGTTGATGTGTATGTGGCAGACACTTCCTATTTCAATTGACTAAATCACCCCCCCCCCTAAAAAAAAACAAAAAAAAAAACAAAAACATTTCAGTTCAAACACTTATGTTTTGTTTGAAACTATTACACAATTCCACTGTCAAATGTTCAACCGAAGTTGTTCCCATTTTTAGAAGAACTTGGATTTATTTCTACAATTGGAAATCCAAGTTATACTCATAGTTCCCTTACTAAGGAAGAAATTCTTCAAAAAATATGTCAGTTTTGAATATTTTAAATATTTCGAAGAACCAAAATGATTCTGAAACTTTATAAGAATCCTTCCAAACAAAGATATATTGCGGGTTCCAGTAAATGTTCAACCAAGTCTCTTTCTTTACTCCTCACTAAGATATTGACAGAAGTGAATGAAAACCTTCAAGAGTACTGTGCAACAATATATTCAAGTAGTGGTTTGAATCAGTTGTAGATACTCAAATTTCAAACGAAGTTTTGGACAAATTAAAATTGCAAGATTTTACCAAAATCAACAGCTTAAAAACTTATGACTTTTCAAATTTATATACAACTATTCCCGACGATAAATTAAAGTCCAGGCTTTTTATATTTTATATTCCTCGTCTGTTTTTCAATACTTTGTTTAAATCTCTTTCGAAAGGGATGGTACCTAGATATATAAAAAAAAATTAAGTGTTACTTTCGTTTTTTTTTTGTGTTTTCTTTAGATGAGCTGCAACTATGTACAAGTTTTTGCTTCTTTCACTGATTTCCTTCCATTCTCCAAATGCTTGTAGCTCTCTTGTTATCAACAGTGCCACTTGCATTTTACTTTGTCTATGTTTTATGGAATAAACCACAATTGATACTTTTAACAATATCATGTACATTTTCGGTGCTGTCATTTTCATTCAGTTTTTAAGGAGCCCTATTAAAGATTTGAATCAGAATAATTACATATGTTACCAACGCTACTCTTGCTTGTCTGATCTCCGGAAAAAACAAATCAGATATATTTTTTCTGAATACCATTCATGTTTAGAAACTATATGTTTAATTACAATGTTTTATTTCAGCAATTGTACGTGCTGTTACCCAAGATAAATCCACACAAAAGCTAACCGTAATTTTAGAAAACATAGAGAGAATTGCTGGCCATTCGCATGGAAAGGAAATTCCTCTAAAATTTATCTCTGACATCAAAGTCCTAAGAGATATTATAGGTAAGTTGTAAAGATTCACATTTAAATATGCAAAAAATACACGAGAAGAAAAGGGCAATCTTTCTATTTTCTGAATATAACTTTGATTTGAAATTTGGTATTGTTTTTTTCTCTCTTTAGCTTAACAAGATAAATAATATTTTTTCTTCAATTGTCAATGCCAGAAATTATCCATCTAAATGATGAGGTTCTCCCCAGCCTCTGTGAAGAAGTTGAAAATAGAAAAAACAAGGTTATTCAAATCAATGTTGGGCAGGAACAACAAAAAACTCAAAAAATCATTGTAATTGTTTTTGATGGAGCATATAATTTTGATGTGGAAGCTTGGGAAGGATATCCAGTAAAATGGAAACACTGGAGGTGTCCACCAGAAGAAGGTGCATACATTTCTGGTCTGGAAAAAATCTTATCTTTTAATGAGGAAGCTGTATATAAAATGGAAATTGCCATCAAACAAAATGCAAGGAAATTGTTCCAAAAGCATTCAAATTTGGAGTTTTTGAGCATTTCAGCATATCACTCTCAAAGAAATGGAGAATTACTAAAAACTAAGTGGTGTATTGCATTGTATTGCTCATGTAAAGGTGTCGTGCCACTGACGGAAGAAGTATTTCCAAAATCAATTCATGGATTTCCAACTGATATTCGGGAGGGGTTCTTTTACTTGTTTCCCAATGGTGCAAATGAAAGGTTTTCAAAAAATCCCAAAGATGTGCTAAAACCATTAGTAATGGGCTGTAGTATTGGAGGAATGAGTAAGTATTCATTAAAATGTCTTGAATTACTTCACCTGTTTCAAAAACTTATAGAATATACAAAAATTAATCTCATGACTTCAGTTTATAAATCGTTATTTATACATTACACATTCAAAATAAAGTTATGAAGAAAATACTGATTGAGCTTCAAAAATTAATAAATTAAAATGAAATGAAAGAATTTAGCTTTTAGTTTTTAAATTCGAATTATTTTTGTCAATTCTGAATTGACAAAATTGTAAATTGATTTTAAAGAAACTATAGTCAATTTTCCTTCACAGGGCAAACACTATAAGCAAAAGAGTTCAACCAAAAAAAAAATGGTTATCATTACTGCTACATTTTGTTGTTATACATTTTTTTTTCATATTTCATCAGCAAATATTTTGACATTTCTGTTGCACCGCAGATCACGGAATTTGTAATTTGAAATTTCCAGTTATCATTACTGCTACATTTAATCAATTAAACAATTGATGATTACAGTACATTTCCGCTACATATCCGATTCTGTCAGCAAAGGCATGGAATTAACGAGTTTTATTCAATATCAAACGAGTAAGAGAAAGATTTGAAAGCGATATTTGAAAATGGCGAGATATTTCAGTACAGCATTTAGACAAGAAAATGTCCTACAAAGCTCTACCAATATTCGGTATGTTTTATCTATAAAAAATGCTTGACTTCAAATTAATTATTTAAAAAATAGATTTTTAAAAAAGTGAGAAAAATTTAGGAAAAACCCATTCCTTCTCAAAGTACTACTTTTACCTCCGGTTGTGAGAGAAGAAACGGGTATTTTTTTTTTATCAATCTTTACATGTTTAAACCGCCCGCTAATAAAAGAGGTAATGTACCGGTCATGTATAGTTTTAAATGTACATCTAATGTGTATATATAGCGGTAATGAGTGTTCAGAGTTGATGACTATTTTGAAAATGTAGCAGTTATAATATTCACCATTTAAAGTAGAAGTTTGAAGCATAAAATATATCAAAACTTGTTCATTTCTTTTTAGTGAAGTTGAGGTGGAAATACGTGTATAAACCCTAAAAAAAAATACTTTTAATAGTAAGCTATAGTAAGCTATAGTTAACTATAGTTTACTATAGGTAAATATAGTATCAAAGTTAAAACTTTTGAACTTTGATTTACTATAGTAAAAAAATAAAACTTTGATGTGCTATAGTTAAAAATTTGGAACTTTGATTTACTTCAGTAAATACTTAGGAAATACTTAGGAACTTTGATTCAGTTATATAAAACCTATTGAATTATGTTTTTGCTCTCCATTCTGTACATTATATTAAAATTCAAGATTGAGATTCATTAAACCCTGACCCGTTCCCTTAAAAAATGTACAAGGAATGAATTTCTATATGACAGTTATCTCTTAAATAAGCAATTACATTTATTTAAATCTACTTAAAATTGATATTGTATAAATGAAACCTAAGTCATATAAATGGGAAAAAATACTATAAAATAAAAGTTGCGCTATTTATAATCAAAATATTTGCTTCATCAACTTCAGTCAACATGTTTCTTTTCTACTGTTAAATTACTTTATATGTTTAAATTAAGATAGAGAACAAAACCAACCCAACCAACCCCAAATTAAACCCTTTAAAACAATTAAATTACCGAAAAACTTGAACTCATTTACATAAGTTGCATAAGTATTTTGAAAAAAAACTTTAAATCTTTAATTAACTAAATTGAAAAAAAAGACTTTGGAATTTTGTTCTACTACAATAAAGAAAATACTTCGGAAATTTGATAAACCATAGGGAAAACTTGGAACTTTGATTTACTATAGGGGACACTTTGGGAGGTTTATTTATTATAGTGAAAGAGTCTAGAAGATTGTGATACTTTCAAATTTAGTGTGTATAAAAATGTAGATTTTAATTTAATTCTAAAAAAGAAAATGTATACTTTATCTATTCAAATTGATATCAAAGAAATTAAGCATTGAATTAAATTGTTATAAAAGCAGTTTTTCAATTGCAAATAAGATATTTTGAATTTTGTTCTTGCAGGCAGAAATATGGAAGGCACACTTGGAGGCTTTGTTTCATTCGATAATGGAGCTAGTCAGGAGCTTGGTTTTATCACTGCTGCTCACATACTCTTTGATCAGCACCAAACGTCCGACATAGAAATTGTTCAACCAAGTTACGGAGTTCAGAATGAAAATAACGTCTGTGGTGTACACATTAGATCTGTATTTCCTACACAACAGGATAAGTACGGTGTATCAGTTGATGCATCTTTAATAAAACTCACAAAGCGTTTTCCTGACAGGGGTACATTTTCTGGGTATACAGTTGTAGATTTACTCGAATTAGGTTAGTTGGTCAAGAAATATTTTCAACTGTTGCACAAAATTATATATTGAGTAAGAACGAAAATTTTAATAGAAAATTGAAAATTTGTTTCTGAAAATAAATATTTTATTTTTTTACAGGTTTTAGCAAAGAAAAGCCACCAGAATATGATACGGATGAAATTAGAGACTATCGAGGCAACAAAATATGGACTGAAAGACGTAATCGATGCTGTAAAAGTGGACAGTCATCTCAATTTACCCAAGGATGTTTAAAACTTAACGGATTTTCCGGTAAATATCTTGAATCAATAGAACTACTCAGCAATCCTTCTGCATCCTCGGGATTTTACTATTACTCACAATTAGAAATCAACCATATCAAAGGATTGAAGGATTTTGCTCAGCCAGGGGACTCAGGAGCATTAGTGTTTCAAATCGATTCTCAGGAATGTGATAAAGATGACAAACTTGTATGCATTGGAATGGTTGTGGGGGGAACATCAATCGATACCACTGTTGTTACTCCAATTGCTTCTGTTTTGGAAGAGCTAAATGTCAAATTGTTACCACTGAAATCGGAAGCAATGGAAATCTGATTTTTAGAATTTCCATTCTCAAAAAAGGGACATACCTAATTCTTGATTCAGTAAAAAAAAAAGTATATTATAACTAGATGCTGTCATGAGACAGTAATACCCGCACTATGGTGTTTGCCTCTAAATATACACTCATTCATATTGGACTTTCCAAGGAAGAAGTCAAAATAATTCTATAATTATCACCGTACATGTATTCGTCAAATTGAACATAAAATTTTCAGATGACCATATCAACTCTGAGCCTCACATATGTATTTTAAAATACTTAATTCATAACCAGTCTGAAATAACAGAATTTAATTACTGATTGAAGTAAATTACTTAATTAGATTCAAATAAATAATTTTCCCAGAATTTGGAACTTTTTAAATTTACTTTCTCAACGACATAAAATATTATTTTAGTACAAAGCGTTTTTGATGAATTTATCAAAATGTGCAAACTGCTTTTAGTATTTGGTCGGGAAAAAAACCCATTGAAAATACAACCCGATTAATTTGTCAATGCCTTTCTCCCTCCCCCCCCCCCCCCACACACACACACACTCTCTCTCTCTCACTCTCACATTTTTTAAAAAACATAGTTTAGTTTATTATGATAGTTTGAAAGTTGTTCTTGTACTAAACAGTTTTATTTTCTACATTCACATTGGGTTTGCGTCACCCATTATCATATTTATAGATATCACCTCTCGGCACACCTCGGCCAATTCATACTGGCAACAGAATCAGCAAAGGTTTGTCGAATGAGATTATTTAGCACATGTATGCTGACGATGCAGTGTGGTCAGTTAAAATCATTTGTGTTTTAATTGGATTATATGGATTATATTTCATGAATTCGTTGTCACGACCTATGACATTTGGTAAGTACAAGATTTAGTATAGATTGCATAAAAATAAATAAATGCAAATGGTTAGGTTTGAAGTTCAAAAAGGGTCAACATGGTCAAAGATCATCGCATGCCACAGTCGACAAATTTCACATTGTCAAGTTATCTCCCGTTGCGGACATTCAGTATATAACAGACGCAGGTCCAGAATTTTTTTTTTTCAGAAAGGGGGGGGGGGGGGGGGGGGGTGTCACACCTCAGTCAAAAAAATCAGCCCAAGATTTCCTGAGATGGAAATAAAAAATAGTAATAAAAAGAATGATGGTGGAGTCCCTGTTTTCTAAGGGGGAGGATGTCCAAAGTCATTTTTATTCTCTACAGTATATAGTCTTATTTAAATAACTGCTAATTCCAGGAGGGGGGGGGGGGTCTGATCTCCCTAGCCACTGACTCCCTGTACCTGAAATGACAATTGATCTTATGACTCCATAATAGTAGAAAATTTTTTCAATTGACTATTTATACATATTTTGTTTCCTATGTTTATGTATTTTTGTCTGTCCACGGAAACTTTAACCTTGCCCATATTTTTTAAGTGGATTGGGCTATACACATGGCTTCAATATTTCATAGGTAAATTTCTTTTGGCAAAACCTTTTAATGGGTACCACCAATTTTGACCTCTTGAGCTCTTGACTTTGGAGTTTGACCCAATTTTACAAGAAAAATACCTTGAACTTGGCTTAAGTTTTGAACAGGTGGTGCTAGGACTTTCATGCTCTTACATGTGTAATCATTGTGAACTTTCAACAGGTATAATTATTTTTGACCTAGACCTTAGAGTTGAATCCAATTTAACTTTAACCTTGGCAATAACTTTCGAACAGGTGAGGAAGTTCTAGGGATTTCTCCCTTTTTTCACATGTGTATTCCTTGTGACAAGACTTTCCCTTTGATACCAACAATTTAGACCCTTTGACCTTGACCTTGGAGTTTGACTTACATTTGAGAAACTTCAACCTTTGCCAAAAGCTGCCATAACAGTTGCTGTCACAACAAACAAACAAATTACTAAAAAAAAAACACAGAATACATGTACATATTTTATATTCAACAGATATACATCTGGTCATATCTCTAGTTCTCCCTTGAATGAGACATGGTGATATAAATTTTAAAAAATAACTAGTGCTAATTGTAACGGGGACCGTTACAGATGTTCCCCAAACGCTCCCCAACTCCCTTTTGGTGCCATATTCCCTATAAGCTTCATTAAATAAGAGAAACTCTGTGCATTTGAGACTTTAACAACGTTTACCCAGAAGTGTACCAATTTCATTCAAATTTTTAGCATTGCACGCGTGCGCATGTGAACGCATGTGCGTAATGACCATATAATATTGTCTTTACAATCTATAGATTTTAATATACTAAATATCAAAGTATTTAATCCAAACGTATAAAAAAA